GTTTCATTTACCAGAATATTCTGAAACCACACCATTGCCGGCATTAATTAAATTGTATTACTTCTTACAAATGTCATACTATTTGGAAGGATTTTATTCAGAGTTAATCGATTCAAGTAAGAAAAAGGCCGTTCAAATGGTCCTCATAATATTTCATCACATTGTATCCTTGGTACTCATATTCGGATCGTATATGTCTCGGTATGTATGCAAACAAGTGTCATATGATTTACACTAATTACAATATGTTAATGTCTACCATTCCCCACCTGATAGGACCCATGACGTGGGACTTGTGATGGCATTCCTGCACGATATGAACGATATATTCTTGGATTGTCCCAAACTGTGTCATGCATTGCGTGAACCTAAGGGCCCAATTAGACCGCAATTCAAATTGATCTATATTTTATGCATAGTTGTATTACCTATCACTTGGATCGTCAGCCGATTGTATTACTTTCCCCTCAATGCCATGTACAGGGCTCTGTTCTTACCTTGCACATATTCCTTGATTGTAATGCTCCATATTTTTATGCAACTTATTATGGTTACGAATATCATTTGGACAGTGGTCAGTATGGCTATTGTGTTATAATGATATTTGTGCTAATTTTGTTGTGATTCATTTGCACAGTGGATGGCTATATTTTATTACCAGATTATTACTGGCAAAGAGATTGAGGATCCGATGACTGAATCCGTTGAGAAAAATCAATAAATGTCTATTCAATTCATATGTGATTTTATTAATAAATATTTCTAAACACACCATTATTTATGTTAAATATAAAAATTATTTCTTTAAAAATTTATTATTTTATTGTTTAAATAATTCATTTCCTTATATCATATCAAATAATTATTTTTTAAAACTATATTTAGTGTATATACCTTTAGTTTTATTGGTTTTAATCTTAAAAGGTGTCCAATAATTTTGGTATACATTTTGGCTAAAAGTTTTATTCATTATAACCATAAAAAACTTTTCAGGCATTAATTTTTGCATTCAAAACATTAATTATAATAGAATACAATACATATATTTAATTTAAATAGATATTTAATATCTGTTCAAAAATTGTTTTGTAGCTAAATTTTATATCATTAAAAATTATTAAATTAAAAATCACATCTGATTCATATTTGATGTTAAAATAGTATAAAATAATTTTTTAAAATGTGTAATAAAATGATAAAATGCTAGATAATTTTTTGAAATAATTGTTTATCAATAAATAAGTATTTAAATTATTGCTAAATTCATATTAAATTGTAAAAACATTTAAATGCAAATTTACTTTTCAAACAAAATGCTATTTAAATAAAAGTTTTAATGAATTATTTACACAGCTTATAAGAATATTTTGAGTATTATTGTTTTTAATGTTTTTATCGATTATATTAGATTTTGTACTTGATTTAATACTAAATAAAATTTTACTAAAATAACATTTTTGATTAATAAATAAGTTTTTTAAAAACTGTTAAAAATGATGTTAATGCTTTAATTATACAAATATGATGTTTGAAAATTATTTTATAAGTATTTCTATTTGTATTTCTATAACACATGGCACCGGTGTATGGGCTGTCTGTCCCCACGAGTTGAGTGCAATGAATCCGTGCACTTGTGATGACAATCGGGTGAAGTGTCGCACCGAAGAAGTGACAGATTTGGTCACAATATTCCGATCA